ATAAATGGGTGACAGTTCTCTCTCACCAATCATTTTTTAACATTTTGATGCATGTCTATGATCCCGCTGGAGGAACAGAAAAGTTTACTGGCCCTCAATTTTCAGATGATGAATGGAACACTCTAAATGTGCGATTTCTGTATGAGGTATAGTTCATTTTAAGCAATTCTAGTAAATGGGTGTCACTGATTAGGACAAATAGTCTACTTGTGCAATAGCACAAATGGTATGTCTCATTCTTCTGGCCTCCTTTGAGACAGAAAAGAAAGGGGACAACAATGACCCTGATAAACCTGGAATTGCTACTGTTTAAAAAAGAGCTATTATATGATATACATTATCCAACATGCTATGGACTTGATGCTACTATATCACTTCTGTATGTTTAGCATTGCCCTATTAATTAAAAACGTGTGACATGCTGAAGAACCTTCTTTATAAGAAAAGACAGTTAACCAGAACCTCCTTCCCTGTGACATAATTGTTGTAGGAAAAGCACATTTTACTCTAGCCCAATAAAGCAGTTTAACGTGTTAACAGAGATAGATACCTTCTGGCTTTGGCTCTGCAATGCTAACTTTGACTGACTTAGAAAGACCCATCTTGAAGAAAGGGCAAGAATATTTGTTCTATCTTGATTTTTTTCAGCTTGCTAACAACTGATACTGACACGAGGTCTGATCAATAAATAACCAATACTGTAATAACAGGGACTGCAAGTTGCTTCAGGACAACAGCACTTAGGAAAGGAAAAAAAAGGAAATGCAATATATATGAATGAGAAATGCTGAGGATTTCATTAAAATGAATGTAAGTGTTCCTTTTTTTTTAAGGTTTTCCAATAAAGTCCTGTATCCGTTATAGATATTTTTTAGCATTCGTTTTGCAAAGTCACCAGATTTCATTCTTTGGAGCAATAATTGAATATGTACAAGGACTAATCAGGTGATTTAAATTTAACTAAGGCATTCGCATGTAGTTTAGCATAGTAAAAATAGTATGATTTGTGGGAGGCAATTAACAATCATTTGCTCTGTGGATACAAGTAATTTGTTTAAAGAGCACTGACCTATGAGACAGCTAGTTTGTGTTGGCTGTGATGGAAGGGAGCTATTGACTCTAAACAGTGTAACAGCGCCATTGACAGAATCACATTTGAATGCACACAAAAGATCTCGAAAATACTTGAGGAACATGAGATCTTTCAGAGGGGGAAGTGGAGTGGGGGCTGAGCAAGGAACCCAGCCAACGCAGAGGTCTCTGCACCGAGGCAGAGCCCAGCCAAAGCAGCAAATCTGGACAATGTAGTGACTAAAGAGGGTTTCCCCCCCTTGGAGCCGTGCCAGCCTTAGAGCCCGGCCGTACTCCTCCTACACAAATACCCTATCAGAAGGAACACAAACTGTGAGCGCTTACTGGTTGAGTAATGGTTTCATAAGCTTAAAATTGAATGCGAGTCTTTGTGCAAAATAATCATTTTTATGTTCACATCTAGCAAATGCATTGCAGACCTGGGAATGGTTCCATGTATTCAACATTCACGCTTTCTTGACGTCTGCTTTGGACATGTTTGCAATCGAATGCCAATACCTTGTACAGCAACCGGGTACAGTCTCCTGCAAATGATCTGTTGTCTCCTGACAATTTGGCTCATTTCTTTCAGTGAGCAAAGGAAGTTATCAAAACAAGGGTGTGCAGCAGAAACGGGGCGGTGAAAGCCGCCAGAATTTGAAAGTTCTGAGTGCCAACTGGCATTCTTTGAAACTGTTTTAATATACCCAGGGTCGAACGATGCTTCCTTTATTTGCTGGGGAATCATTAGGCAAAATAGAGACTTGGAGACAACAGTGAGGCAGTGGCCCCAGTACACTGTAAATACAGCACTGCCGCTCATCTTCAAGTAAACCAACAGAATCTAGAGCTTAAGATATGTGTGTAAAGGTGCAGTTTTATCTGTAACATAATTTCATTTAGAAGCATACAAATCACAATTTGCCATAATCAAATAACGCCGCAGTGCTTATATTCTAATTAAAAAAATAATCTCTGATATTTAATTTAGAAACCTGGAAGACTTTAGCTGCAAAAATACAGCTACAACCTGCACAAACCACTTCACTTGCCCAGACAGACAGAGGATTTTTCAGGTAACCCTTTAAGAAGTATTATTAAACAAGCAAATGATGCACTGGTCAATATATATTAAAACAAGTATTGTACCCAGTTATTAATTTGCACTATTCACTTTTAAATGCAGCAAATACCTCATTAATTTAATTTTAGGTGCCCACCAGTTTATATTGCATTTTACAGTCTAGAAGGCAATTTACTATTAACTGGCAATTACATACAGAATGATTGTTAATTCTGCTCCTAAGTGCTAGCTGCTTGAAAATTGTTATCTCTCTCTAATTTTTGACCTTCTTACAACAGGGGTGAGGTATACTGGGAATACAAAGAACTAGTAGAGAAGAGCTGGACATGTCATTTGTGACTCATTCTTTTAATTCACCGTGCTAATCAACTGAACTGCCACAATCTCCCAAGGTAATTGTATCTTTATAATAGTTGAAAGCAGCGGGCAAAAAGGCATGGATAGATGGGGAAAGGCCTTGCCTCTGCCTGCTGAGAGCCGGCGCGCTCTTGCTTCTGTGTGAGACTAATGGGGGCTTTTGAGAAAAATCTGGAACTTTCGTATCTCTGCACCCTGATCATTTAGTGTCTCAACTTCTCTGCTCACAAAGGCTTTGTACACCACACTACACTCTTGTTTCATTATTCGGCAGCCTTGTTGCCCTATGGTCTACCTCATGCTGGGAAGGTTAAATGTTAGAGTGCCAAGCCGGGCTGCAAGCATGGTGGGACACTGATGGGAAACAGATGCCCTGGGGATTCAGCCCCTCCCTCCTCTAGGACTACATCATTTTCATTTTCTGAAATACAGTCAGGCTTGGCTCCACTCTCAATGGCAGCTGTAATTTCCAAAGACTATCTCAGTCCCCCTATCACTTCAGGATAAGCAGAGCAGGCAGAAGTTTCTCGACCCAGCAGACATAGGCATTATCTTTTTATTCTCTTATTGCTGGGATATAGTTTGTCTTTCCCTCAAAAGGCACTTTAAATATATACGTCCCATTAAAGTGTTGTTAGCAATGTAACTTTATTACGATTTTTTCCAGCGGGAGAAGCTCCTGACACTCTCACTGTTCTTCTCAACATCTTTACTTAGCGATAAAGACAAAAGACGACGCCCAGAAAGAAGAAACAAATGTCTTCTCCTTACAGTTTCATCCATATTTGTATTTACACATGAGAAAGAAGTTCAAAACCAGCAAAATCTGCCAAATTTGCAAAATCCCCACCTAAGAAATCAGTTAAAGACATTACTATGGAGCAATTCAGAATTCCTCTGCACCGAGCCAGACCGTCATCTGGTTCAAATCTGCAGCGCTTCCCTGTGTGCAGTGGAACTGCACCAGCTCACAACAGCTAAAATATCTGGAACTTAGTCTGAGACTTTTAATTCATTCATCTTTTATTTTGTTGAACACTTCTCCCAGCCAGTCATACTTGTCAGGATACTGTAGCTTTGCATGGACTATGCCCATAACAGCATTTTTTAGCCTGTAACCATGACCATATACAGCCCCACCTGCAGTCACCAGCTTTGCAGCAGGCTACAAAACAACGTTGGCTTTCAACATATGTTGTTAGCACCAAAAGGGTCACTACCACCCTGTTTGGTACCTCTGGTAAAAAGTCCAATCAGAAAGATCAAGCAAATGTCAATCTTCTCTCCCTTGTCAGCCAGAAGTGAGGCACCCCAGTGTGAATGCAAGCGTTAGTTTTGCTCAAGGGATAGATGGAAGATAGGAATATCAGATGCTACCTTCACTTAAAAGTTCATTTTGCTGGTACATCTTGGGCAGTCAAAAACATATCCACGATGTGTGAACTGTTTAAAAAGTCCTAGCTTAAAACTACCCAGGAACACACTTTTCCCATTAGATCTAAATTAATAGATAGAAACAGTTGCAGTCTAGTGGGAAAATATTCATCAAAATGTACATCATCTGCACATCATCTGCAATCTGCATTATCTACCCAATAAGCAGCAAGAATTCTCCCTGAATCCCTACAGTCTGTCGAGTAAACAGTTAAAGGCTCTTTGTTTTCAAAAGAGAGATTGATTCATCAGATCAAATTTATTACCTAGAATCCTCATCCAAAAGAATGGTAAATTAAATTGCTGTTTCTCCCTTTTCTCTCCCAGCACCTCAGTCAGATTCATTGTTAAATGCCAGAAAATCTGTAATACACATTTTAGATAAAAAGCCAGCAATACTTCATCCCAAAGTAAGAATTTTCATATTAAAACCACTGGAAACCACAAAGTTCCGACTTTTTCTTGTGCTCTTGTAAATTAAAATCAAATGCATTTAACAGGATTGGCACAAATAAATCATTCCCAGGCTTGTGAGTTTGTATCCCAGGTTTCAGGTCTGAAAGAATTTTTAGAGCCAGATTGTGAATAAGGTTGGATAAAGTTATTTGGATCCAACAACAGCTACTTGAACCGGTGCCTAAAACTCCAACTGAACCTTTAGGGAAGTTCAAGAAGTTTGGATAGATAGTCTGAGAAATATTTTTCACCACTGAATACTTCTTAACTCCTTTTTCTGGCTGGAGAAGAGTAGGAAATGCCATTGTTAATCTATTTCTGGCCAAAAATGAAAACAGGAAGTAACAGGCATCTTGTGAGAGAGCTTGATCCCATGAGACATGGAGATATTTAAGACCCAAGAGGCTGGAAGAGGCATCAGAGCTTCTGTGTGCCCATACAAGCAGGTATTTTGAGGTCCAGCTACCAGCAGATACATTTCCTGGAAGACACAGCCTATTTTTTAAGAGCATTGTAATGTTCCTGCTTTACACTGCCTGTGTATCATTAAGACATGGGAGACGTTATCCCAAAAGGAGTAAGGAAACCGTACACTTAC